GGTATCTGCTTTTTTCATGATCGCGAGGATGATTTATAGTGGTAGTAGAGGCATGTGATGATGCTATGATTTTTATAGGAGCAATGAAGACCATAGTGACAGTATTGTGAACGATTGTACTGAGATTGGTAAAGAGGTTGCGTTTGATGTTAATCAAAACAAATCGTAAAAGCATGAAGTGTATTGCATTTGTCTTCGTATTTTATTTCATTCCGGGAACCGCAATTTATGCTTATGCACATACTAAGGTTTGTAATGCACGGGGAAGAATATGAACACTTAAACATGCACACTTATTTCTCCCTTTGTTTTCTTGTTTTTCATACTTTCATATGCCACCACAAACTACGCCAATTCCTCCTTTATCACCTGTCATTAGACGACCAATTACATATATCCTCACTACTATATGTTTGTCGCACTTTTCTTATTATGAACCACTATTATGAAACACTACTGACGATTGAATTCCTAAAGTAAAGCTGAAATATGCTATAATGAAAAAGTGGAATAACAAAATGAATACGAAGGTAGGCTTTAAACCGTTTTATTTTTGTTACTGATGCGAAGATGCGCCCGGGAGGTTTATATAGGTAGGGGTGAATCATTTCATAATTGACAGATTGGTGATAATTACTTGATGATAATTACATTTTCCCCTTGGAGAAAAAATAAGTATAGATTTTATTTCCCCTGTGCCATTTATATATTGTAAGATTAATCAGAAAACAAGAATTATGCTCGCAATATTAGGTTTCGTATGTTTCTGTAACTTGTAATTGAATTTATTTTGCTTTACTGCCTATATACACGTAAGAGCTAGGAAATTTGCCTATTTGGCTGTCACGGAGCACGCCATTAAAACCCCTCTCGGCAGTTTTGTTCGCACGCCCACTACATCAGCGACTCGGAGGGTGAGGTGAACGCAGGCCTGGCACCATCTGTGGGCGGATCGTACAAGGGCGTGTTTCCAGCTGGCCTCCTGACCACCTTAGCGCCCGCGCCTCATGAGTTCCCGTTGCTCAGGTTGTATCGTCGGGATCCTCGTCTGCCGTGGAAGGTTTGTCAAACTCAGTGGTAATGTTCTTAGTGGTCTATTATCATTATTTTTGTTATTACTAGACATTATCGTTGTCATTGTCTTTCGCACATCCGCATTCTCCACCCCGGCACTTCCGCAGATAACCGTGAAGGTCCTCGAGGGCCACCAGCCTCTGGGAACGCAGCAGGAGGCAATGTCGGAGATGGAGTTGGAGCGCCACCTGATGGGCCCGGGCGTGAGACGAGTTCCTCTGAGGGAAGGAAGAGTCCGCGCTACCTTGTTCCTCCCGCCGGGTCCCGGGCCCTTTCCGGGGGTCATTGATATGTTCGGGACGGCGGGGGGGCTCATGGAGTTCAGGGCAGGTGAGATCTTGCTCCTTCACATTTTTTTTCTTTTTTAGTATTCCTAGTTTGTTATTTTGAGATTTTGTGAAATTGATTTTTAAAATTTTACATTTCGTGTTGCTCCCATTTTTCGTACACTCGTCTCCCACTTCCCAGTCGCATATCAAGATGAAAGTATGATTCCATTTATGCTTTTTTTCCCCCGGTCCCAGCCATGATGGCCTCCCGCGGGATCGCCTCCATGGCCCTGGCCTACTTCGCCTTCGAAGATCTCCCTAAAACCACGGAAAGCTTCGATCTAGAGTACTTCGCCGAGGCCGCCGAGTTGCTCATGTCCCAGGAGGGCGTGGTCCCCGACCGGTGCGGGATCGTGGCCGTGAGCAAGGCGGCGGACATTGCCTTCACCTTGGCCACGTGGGTGCCGGAGGTCAAGGCCGTGGTGAGCATCAGCGGCTCGCCCGTCGCCTACGACTCCGTCATCACCTACCGGGGGAAGACCATCCTCGAGGGCTTCAAGATGGACCTGAGCTTCATCCGGCTGGACGAGCACGGTCGGCTCTACCCGCTCAGAGAGATGATCCAGCTGCTCACGCCCGACCACCCGCAGTTCATCCCCATCAACCTGGCCGACGACGACACCTACTTCCTGGTCGTGGGTGGCGACGACGACGCGTGGTCCTGCGACATTCCCGTCCACAGTGTCCGGGAACGAATGGAGATGTTCGGCCGGACGGAGAAGCTGGAGACGAGAGTGTACCCAGGAGCGGGCCACATCCTGGAGCCTCCGTACGGCGCCCTCATCCACCACTCGTACCACAGACACCTCCCCGTCGTGGGCGGCGAGGACGGGACCGAGAGGATCACGGGTGTGCCCATTCTCTGGGGAGGGCGGCCATTCGAACACTGTGCTGCTCAGGAGGATCTGTGGCCCCGGATGAGGAACTTTCTCGTTAAGCACGTTCGAGACGAGAGCCCATGGTATCAGCAGCACAAGAAAGATTGATACCCTGGGTCACTGAACTGTAAATAATATTTAGTGAAATCACTGTTTATATTTATTTTTTGATATCAAATCTCTAGCTGCAGGAAGAAATCTCAAAGCGCAGTATTATAA